GGGGGGGGCACTTGGCTTTCCCGGGGGGGGGGGAGATGTAGCTGAAAGAAACCCTGGTAGTGAGTACACTTTCACTTAAATCCCTATTTGACTTTAGTGTCTTTAGCTAGCTTAGGCAAGTATTAATTAATTAAATTAAAGTATTACCTTATTTTTGTCAGGAATATATATTAATGAAGAGTGACTCTCCAACAACTTATTTACATCAGTCGATGCCATTTCCAGTAAAAGTATTGTTTGATTTACCTATACTAAATGATTACATTTACACTGTGCCTATCATAAAGCAAGCTAAACTATACTTGAATACAACATAGAAATTACATGTGCGGCCACCATATTTCTTGTTATGAAAAATTAACATCCGCTTCCGCCTCTGTTTTCCATGGCGACTAAGGAAGCAGAAATGGCTGCAATAGTTCACTACTAGTATGGTTTAAAAACATTCAAAACAATTAATCAGATTTTAATTTTATAACAAAGTTAATAAGGAGTAGTAAGGAATAAAGCTGAAGATGAGCCAATTCTAGTAATGTATTGAAAAGTAGTATGCTTAAATAGTGCACGGACAATTTCTATTATTTGTATTTATTCTTGAGTACTTTGAGTCTTGACTTGGACTTGTTATTTTTACAAATTTTGTCAGTTTTACTAACTTTTTAATTTGTCAAGTTTTGTCTTTCACTCAGTGAGTGACTTGTGAAACTTGTTCTTGTTGTATAAAACCCACATTAAACTCCCTTAACGCATCCAAATGAATAATTAAAATAGATTTTAAAATAAAACTAAGAATAAGAAAGATAAATAGTTGTAAATTATATTGACACTTTATATTGGCAGAGAATGTGAAGGAAGAACAACAATCAGTCAATCTGTAATCAGATCAGAATCATACATAAATTATAATAATTAAATTATTATAATGGTAATATTAGACTGTGTCTAATTATTTGAGCAATTGGCTGGGAAAGTAGGCATTAAGGTTTTTTTCATATTCATATTGTTTAATATATTTAATTGAAAAGACCCTGAAGATGAAACAATTGACATAATTACTGATAGTTATGACTTAGTTTCCTACTTTAGTTTTTATAATACATTTGCTGAACGTGTGGAAAAAAGATATTGAATGATGAATAAATTAAGGAGAACCACACTTTAGTTTTTATTACTGGTAATCGCTTTATGATAAAAAAGAATAGAAATAATTTTGTGACAAACTGAACCAGGCTTCGGAGAATAAGGAAATCATAAAAAAAAGGTCATCAAAACATCCTGAAAAAAGAGAATGAGTGCAATCCAGTCTAGTGAAGGTGTGCTAGTTTCTGCCCCTACACCCATGTTTAGCCCTAAATCTGAAAAAGGAGCTGTTGTCACAGTTGAACAAGTAAAATATGGTAAATCTGATTTGAAATTTGTTTGTTTCATATCCAGATTGTATCTAGTTTAGTATGTTACTAGTTTGCAAGCATCAGTATTTTTTATCTTTTATTTTAAATTTCTACTTTTAGAAAAAGAATATAACAATCAGTATTCTCGGGGGAGGGGGGGTAGTTTGCAAAATAATTTATTATCTTATATATTGTGTATTTTGTTATCTGATGATATTTATCCATTTTTCATCCAACAAATGCCGTTATGATGTACTCTGCCAAAAAAATCACTGGTTACAAAAATGTAATCACTATTACTCTCTTAATTTCATTTTAATATAAGTGATATCATATAATTTATCATGTTACTTATTTATTGTCTTTTTGAAACTTAGATAATAAAATTAATATTTTTAAGGTATCCTGCCTGAACTTCGCTCTAGTGCCCACTTTGACAAATCAAAACCTCTACCTACATCCTTACAAAGTGATTTTATACCTGAGGACATACTCTTTGCCCTGACTCAGCCTCCACCTATTAAAGACAAGCTTGGACCAGTGTCAACAGCAAGAAACTTAAACACAACATCTGTATGATACTGTTTTGCACAATATAATTTAAAATAAAATTACAATGATATTTTACCATATTCATATACATTTAAAGTCTGTAAATATGATTATGCAGACTCCTTAAAGCTTATAAATGTCATGTACCAATATTAATTTTGCAGGTTAACAGCCGACCTGCACCTGCAAATGTTTGGAGTCACAAAAGAAGGAATAGGTTTAAGCATTTAGTGGATAACACACCATGTGTGTGTGGTGCTGGGAAGTATGTGTTTTTATCTATATAATAGTTAAGACTTAAATTTTTTGGGGTAGCTTAAATTATTATAAACTTCTTATTAACTTACTCTGTAGCACTAACAACATGAAACTTTTAATGTACAAAAGCACTATTGTAACTTTGTGGATTCTTTTTTATTATGCAACGAAGAAGGATAATAAAAAGTTTTTGGACTCATTTGAAAAAAATATTTTTTTAAATTTCAGGGACATTTCCTTCCTGTATGATGTCCCACAGACCATGTCCCATCCTGTTAAACCTGATAAACTTGACAAGAGTGCCATACGAAAAGAAGAAATTGCAACTTTTGGGAAGGTATCACATTTATATACTCAACTTTATGGTTATAAATAAGGAATTGTACATTTTCATGATTCAGTATCAAAATACAGGTTGCTGGCCTGTCCTGTTTACTTCTGCTGGCTAGTCCTGTGCACTAGAGCTGGCTAGTGCTGAATAGGTTTGCTATTTAATTTTTGGATAAGTTTCATTTGTAGCCCAACTTCAAAGTTTTATTATCATGTATTATCCTATCTATCAATGATTTTTATTTATTTATAATAGTTAAATAAAAAATAAACTCCTCAAATATTGACAGTGCAGAATGGATTTATTTATTTTGTCAACAGCCACTTCAGCTACCAGACACACTGATTCCAGATGAATACCACATTGTGAAGAATAAAGGTGTTGTTGGCATTGAATTCCATGATGAGTAAGAAATTTATTATTTATTTACTCATTTAGAATTAGAGGACTGTTGTCATTATAGATTTAAGAAAATTGATGCGAGTGGGTTTAATCAACAATATTAAGTGACCAAGTGGAAAAGAAAAAATCATATTACTTCTCTTTGTTTGCTATTAATGAATCCCTGGAAAAATTAATTTGAAAATTGAATGCTTTAGTTAAAACTAGTAAAAAAGGTTAAATTTTTCACAAACTAAACATGTCACAGGAAGCATTTATATACAAAAAAAATTAAAAACCAAATGCATTATTATTAAAATCTTAATTTTTTTACATGGATAAACTGAACTAAACATTAAATTAAAATTTCTCTTGACAACTATATGCTTACAGCAAATTCAGTACCAATCCAGAAGACCATGAAAAACATCTTGTTGTTTTCCCCTCACTGTAAGCATAGTAAAATATGTTTAGTTGGCACATAAGTTCCATTTTTTATATCTTTGTTTTATTTTAATTTTTATAATTGATTTCATAAATACAAACATTTTTAAAAATAATTATTAACATGTTTTTGCTATAGACTATAATAAAAGAATGTATTAGTAAAGAACTAATTTGTCATTTATTTTTAGTAGAAATCCTTCAAATGCAGTGGTTGTACCTTTTCATATGATTTTCCAATCTTCAGTAAACCTGCAAGTCGGTATGAGGTAATGCAACTGAAGAATGCATTGAACAACATGCTTGATAAAGTTGGTGCCAACGATTTGGATTCTGACAAAGGAAGTGGTCCTACACAGGTTTAAAATAAAAATGTTTATTGTGTTTGCTGTTATGTTTTGTTGCTGTAGAGAGTAGGACACTAAAACAAATACAACACTGCTAAAATGATTTTTTAAAGTGTTTTCTATTTATTTAAAAAATTTGACTTCATTTTAAGTTAAATCTGTTGCTCAATGCACTCAAGAACTTTTATTACATTGTACATTTTTCTTTTTCAATTTTAATTTGATGAAACATCTGTTCTGTTCTTATGAAAATTTAAAAAAAAAACATTTTTTACAAATTATTGGTCATTGGATGGTTTACTTCTAAATAATATTTAACACTAATACTGTTTTAAAAATCAGTCTGGTATTATATTAAGCCTACATTCATTTTTTAATTTCAATTTGGTCAATCGTGAACTGATTAAAGACCAAAATCTCATTTTCATAAATTATGCTCCATAAAGTTATAAAGGGATATTTGTGACCTGAAAAATGTACTCTTAAATGGATGGTTAAAAAATTATAAATATTTTTCAACAGATGCACAATTTATTGGAGCTAATAAAGAAAGAGCAGAATATCTACAATGTTGTATTTCATGAACTTATTAGACAGGTTTGTAGTAATATGTCACATATTTTTTAATAAAAAATTAAGATTTTATGAAAATTAAATCTCTAATGATGGAAAAATTTGTTAAAGATAAATGATGTAAGGGTTTTATTTTTGGTTTGAAAATAAATAAAATGCCAAACTAATTGCAGATACTATAATTATTTTCTGCAAAAATTTTTCTGCATTCTAGACCAGTGTTGAATGTGTTGAGAGAGGAGAACTACTTGCAGACCTCAGAAAAAAGTACAGCGACCTCCTTAATAAAATACCTTTACAAATTATGAGGTAAGAATGTGTCAGGTTTGTGTTTCAGTTTCATATAAAAATTAATCAATAAAGATAAATAAATATATCATTTGTTTAAAAGCCTGAAACCATGTATTTTAGTTTGTAATAGACTAAATACATAATTTAATATCTACAACAACAAAAAGACATGCACTAAAACACAGATACACAATTACAAAAATGTTCTTAACAAAAAAATTAATGGAAAATGTCTTTTATGTATATTTGATAGTTTGGATATTGAGCCATCTTCCAAAAAACATTGCATTTTAATGTAAACTAAAACTAGATTTTGACTATAATATCAAGAATATATGTGGAAAAAAATTTCCTGATACCCACTAATCAGTGAATTTTTATCTGGAAAGAAATGATCATGAATTTGGTTAATCCTTCATTACCTGGTTTTATAGATAATTTTACAGCATATCTATCTGTTAACAAGATGTTAAATAAATTGAGTGAAATAAATTAGTTAAACAGAGAAAAAAAAACAAATTGCCCACAACTTTGTAAGGAATTTTTTTCTTTTTAATGAGTTTACCAATGGGGACCAGTATGGATGGTTCATAATTTCAAATGTTATGCTTTACTTCATCAGTCTCCATGAGGAAGTGATGGCACAGAGAGCTTTAGACAGAAGGTTGACAGAAGAGCTGATGAGATTCAAGGGCACTATTTCTTTTCTCACCAGGTTGATTACCTCAAATTTTTGAGTAACGTGGTGTGAATTATTTAGGTCTTGTTATTTTTATTTTAAAACATTATAAAATTGCCATGGTTAAGATAAAAAATAAAAGAAAAAAGGATTGGTGAGATTTTAATTGGACGACATAGTGGGAAGGGGCATTGGGAATTTCTGTCTGGTTTTAATTTTGATGTAGGTTATATATAGGTTAGATATTTTGAAAACTAGAACACATAAAAAAACATCAGCTGTTTAAATTCATAAATACATGAATATCAGATAAATTAGGTCAAGGCTAAGTTGCTAGGCCTCTCCAGGTTATCTTTTATACAAATGATGTGTTTCCCTCTCAGCCTAAAACGCTGCTCTCGTAAGCCCAATACAGTCATTCCCTAAATCCCTCCTCTAACCCAATTGAACATAGAACTACAGAATCTTAAAAGAAATTATTGATAAAACTAAGAAGATTCGTTTTTTTTAAAAATCTTTCTCCTACATAACTTAAAATAATAAATATGGGTTTGTCCAGCAAGTATTCAAATAATGAATGTATCTGAATATTCATTTAAATATTTGTATTTATTTAACATATAAATCTGATGTACCACCATTCAGTGAACTTACAGATGTTAAGGAGCATGACATGAAGGTCACACAAGAGGCACAAAAAGCACAAGATGATGTGAGTTGGTGTTTTTTCACTTAAGTCAAAACAAATTAATCTCATTAGTCAGTGCTAAAATTGGCAACACTTTATTGTATTTAATCCATGAACATATCCTTTCATTTTACCCCAAAAATAATATTATTCAATCAGTAGCATTTATTTAATAATTTTGTGACAAACAGCTCTGATTGATATTTTAGGCCAGTGGGCCTCAAAATTTTGACATGAAAGACCACTGTCTTGTAAGAGCCAACTTGGATTGGGCTTGCATTTAACTGCATTAATACATCACTATACCTTAATAGAAGCAAAATTCTTAAAGTTTAAACAATTACCCCATTCGAGTGTTTAGATGTATTGGGTTTGTCTCTAGTAAAAGTCCATATTTTTGAGAAACAGTTATGTGGTTTGTAACTATTTAGGTCTTGTTATTTTTTAATTTTAAAACATCATAAAATTGCCATGGCTAGGATAATAAGTAAAACAAACTAGGATTTGTGAGATTTTAATAGGACTATGTAGTGGGAAAGAGCATTTTTAATTCCTTTCTTGTTTTAATTTTGATATATATTTATATATAGGTTAGATATTTTGAAAAGTATAACTATAGCAGACCCTTAAAATGTGTGTTTCCAGAATAAATACAGTATCTTTTTTATAGTTACGTAGTGCTTTAGCCGAGTCACAGAAGAACTCCAATTTACTTGCTGAGTACCATGACTTGTACGAGCTGCAGCGTAAGAGACTGGAGGGTCAAGTTTTTATGCTCTCAGAGGAACGAGAACTGTGGAGTACTGCAGCTTACAGTCTGGCCCTTAAGGTGAATGCATGACAGCACTTTCAAAATGACTTTGTTTTTTGTAAAATGCTACTCAATTATTTTTTTACAAACTGGTTTATTTATAACTTGAATTTTTTCAAAAGTTATTAAATCAGAATTTGTTTTGTTTGAGAGACAGTTCTCATCCCTGTAGATTGACATGTTGTGAGGCATATGTTTTCAGTTATTTTATATCTTCGTTTTTTTATATTAAAAAAACATGGACAAATGTTCATATATCCCTATCAATAGTTTATTTATTTTTTTTTTTAACTTTCCGCATATACTGTAAATATTAATTTAAAAAGGGAAAGTTATAAAATGAGTCTCATAAAAAAATTCTTGTGCTCTAACTATAGGTTACAGAGGAGTACCAACTCAACACAGCTAAACGGATGCAGCTGTCTGAGAAATGCTGGGTCAAGATGGCCAATCATTTCACTATCTTACTGAGTGACAGGGACACTGACCTACTGACGCAAATTCAGGCCAGTTAACTCTTTATTTACTTACTGTAGCAGGGTATTTCTATGGCCATTTAATTTTTTAGAACAAGAATATAAACTGGAATCACTATTCCTACATTGACATAGAATATCTTACCATATAAATACCAAATGCAGGGAAATAATTATGACTTTAGTAGTTTTATTTATTGTGATTGTAAGCACAGCTTCAAAAAGGTGCAAGATAGCATGATTTCTCTCAAAAGTTATAGCAGTACTTGTGTTGCAAGTAGCCTACTTGGCTGTCACATGAATGACCCATGTCAGATTACAGGTTCAAGCAACCTTTTCTAATCAATTTCCTTTAGGTCTCTTTAAAACATTTCAGTCTTCATTCTTGACATTTTGTATGTCACTCCTTAAAATAATTATTAATCCAATAATGTAAAAAAAAAAAATACAAAGTAAGGAAAATGATCTAGTTCTTTACAAGGTAATTTCTTGAATATAATATTTGTACACATAAATGTATGGTACTTGTGCTGACTACAAAATATAAGTAATTTAATTTTTTTAAATGTTACTTTAGATCTCTGTATTCCTATTAATACATACAGGGTCATGTAGAAAACTGGAGAGACCATATAGAGGATTTCAACCTGGCACTGAAACAAAAAGAAGAAGACATGAGGGACAGCCTCAAGAAAGTCAAATCTGGCATTGAGAGTTACTGGCAGAATTTTCAACAGAAATATGTGTAATGGGATTTTTATTATGTTGATTTTTGTTTCTACAGAGCATACGTAGATGAATGAAGGCAGAGCATACATAGATGAATGAAGGCAGAGCATACATAGATGAATGAAGGCAGAGAATACATAGATGAATGAAGGCAGAGAATACATAGATGAATAAAGGCAGAGAATACATAGATAAATGAAGGCTTTTAGTCAAAATATGCACCATTGTTTTTGGTTTTCATTAAAGCGTGACATTATTTCTCTGCGCTTAAAGTTTTTGTCCTATAATCTTTCTAAGTTTTTACAAAGACCTAACCCCATGTCAGGCAGCATAATTTTACAACTTAACAGGCGGTATAGGTATAATTGTACCTTCATATATATTGTTTGAAAAGTCTCACTGTAAGTATATTTTCTGTACAGGTACAATATTCAGTATCTACATATTGTTTAGGTTAAGAAGGGTTAATCAGCCAGACCAGTATTTGAGCAAAAGTCAGTTAAGTTTTTCATGTACTTCTTAACAAATTATTTTCAGTGATTTGGAGAATGGTATTGTGAAGAAACCTGATGAAGAATTCACCAGAGCTCTGTATGGGGCACTTCAAAGCTGGGATGAGGTAAGTTTTAAATAATAGTTTCAGCCTAAGTTAAGCTATGCATTGTAGGTATTTGCTGGTTTATTGAAATTAATAGATTAAATATTTGGATAAATTCATAAAGGCAAACCTACTATCTATATCTTTTTTTTACAAACATTTAGATCTTTTTGTAAATTTTTGTCTTGAGTGATAGTCCTTAAATGTGTCTGTATTCACCCAGAAAAGATATTTCTTAATTTATTTAATCCCGGCAATAGAAGAGAAACTAATTTATGGCATTATATATATTAAAGTCTTATAGAAAGTTATAATATTTCATTACTCTTTAGAGGAATTTAATGAACCCCAAAACTTTATAACCTATGAAGAATATATAGCAAGCGTCAAGATCCATCAGGTGGATCTCTAAAAAAAAAATGATGATGTTTAGTTTTATCATGGGCAGGAGGATTTGTTTATTGAAATTGTAAACCATCCAAAATCCTACTTTACCAGATAATTATAAAAGAAACAGATATATATGGGGGAGACAGCCTGCTCAACACCCAAGACCAGTTATCCCGTATTCGTAAAGAAATGGAGGGTTGGACTGACTGTGCTCTCAAAGTGTTCCGTCATCACCGTGCTAATGATGGCAAGACCCACCCAGATCAGGCCAACATGCAGGCATTAAATGAAGTCAGTAACTCACCAGTTACCTCCAATCCTTAAAACTTTTGTTCAGTTTGTAAACTAACTTAACCATATATTTCTGTACATTTTCATCACAGCCACATTGTAAATGTGTCTTTTTTTACAGAAATATATTTAACATGGGTGCAAATATATGTATTTTAAAATTAATCCCACAGGAAGTTGATCAACTTCTAGCCCAGTTTCAACACAGAATCACTGGAGAAAATGGTAAGATATTTGCTCACCAGCAATTACAAAATTGAAACCTGCAAAAAAAATTTAGACTCATAAAAAAAAAATTTTTTTTCTATAACAAAAATTTTTTACCAAATAATTAAATTTTTTTGTTGTTGTAGGTGTTGCAGCCTTAATTATCAACTTCCAGAGTTCACTGGAGAACTGGGAAACGCGTCTACTGTCCAATATTCATGGTATCCTAGCCTTACAAGAAGCAGACTGGGGAACTTTCTATCAAACAATGGAGGACTGGGTCTCTTTACTCAAACAAGCTGTGGACTTTATTGGAACAACACAGAAAGATGAAGACAGGCATGATGGCAAACCCCATACAAGGTACACAAGTTTTTTTGTTTTTTTTAATTTAGAATATAATTTTTATAATGAAACTTTTTTTAGAGTTTTGATTTTACACAATACCTTATGTTTATCAATTATCACTTTTGAAGCACTTAAACAAAAGTGCACATTTTATTATGTGAACAATAAATCAAATTTAGGTGACAGAATGGTAGGAGAATTTTTTTACGATATATTTGATTTATGTTAAAGCACAGAATAAATGTAAACATTGCTGCTGAACTCACATGTAGTAACAAAATTTTTTATATTATCCTTAAAAACCATAAAAGTTGTGAACAAAAAAATCATTGAAATTCACTTAAAAGCGAGAGGATTATAGCAAATTTAAAATACAAAAAATGTTAGCATCTGGCATTCATAATGAAACAACATTATTATTTCAGCTGCCGTGTATTATTCAGTTACTAAATACCATAGATCCTATAAATCAGTGCATTAAAATTTCTTTTTTAATGGAATCTGTTTTTAAAATCACTTTTTTTTTAATAGGCTGATAAACAAATACAAGAAATATATTGGCTTACCACACTGTATATATAGGCTTATCACACTGTATATATAGGCTTATCACACTGCATATAAATATATTCTGCTAGAGATTTTAAAAAATTGTATTTAGAAATGTATTTCTGCTTCTCTTTCAGCCCCAGAAAATCAAAAGGATTTAAGATTATGTAATTCTTGAACAGATAGATACATTTTTATCACGTTATTTCACTTTTTATCTTTATTTACATCTGATGTTAATCCTTTCATTCAATGTTGCATGTCTTTATCAGGGAACTATAAAGGAAATGCCCTAATTCAGAATTTTTCAAATATTATTTTATTTCATTTTTGTTTTCTTTTTTTTTTTGTTGTAAAAATGTAAAGTTTCTGTCCAATTAATAACTGTGATTTTTTAAATTGTGTAGATCGTTTATAGTTATAAGGTGTTGAAGCTTCCTACATTAATACTGTTCTAGAAATAAAAATGCTTACTTAAACATTTATCATTTTGAACAGTGTAGACTACTTTAATATTAATAATTAATTAATAACCTTTTCTGATCATTTTTTTAATTCTAGGACAACATAATAGATCATTGACCAGGGGTCAAATGATGCAGGCAGACATTTTGCCTGTAAAATTATAAAACTTGTTAGCCTCAGTTTGATCACATAAATTTGATTACCTTTTCCTTTCCCACTTGAAAAAATTGACTTGTGATGGTACAGCTCTATCAGGACTTGTCCATGCATAAAGTGAAGATTGTTCACATATTTATTATTTTAGCACTATAACTGCCTACACACACTGAAAATAATGGTGAATTTTTATTTATTTTTTTGTATTAAAGAGAAAAATAAAGAACACTGTAAAATAATAGCACTGGTTCTACTACTCTCCATCCAAATCTAACAAAATAGAAACCTAAAACTGAAATGCATCTGCATCTTCCACCCCTTTTTTTTTTCTTTTCTTTTCTTAATAGTTTAAAGAAAATAGTTTTAACTTTGACTTTTTTTTTATTGGCCACCTTTTCATTGGTGGAGAAAGTTGGTAAAGTTTGAGAAATCAAAAAAATTTAAATGGCATAATAAAGTTTATTTGCTGGTGTGATGTCATTGACTCTTTCATAACAAATAATTTTTTTTTAAATTTTAGTGAATAAAGGATAAGAAAAAGGAGAATCATTCATAATGTTCAGTCTCAATAAGTGCATGACTTACTGAACAAAGTGTAGCATCATCTAACCTCAAATTTCTCATTCTTTGATTTCTTTGGGTTGGGGAATAGTTTTCTTTTTAATTAGTGTCCTTGGTATTTGATAAACATTTCCCTTTTTTGTTGTTTCTACTTTCTGTTGTGGTGCAGGTAGCATGTATTAACAAGGAATTCTAAATTCTAGACTCTATTTTTTTATAAAAATGTCCTACTCCAAGGAAGTAATAAAAATCTATTAATACGGTATTATTAGTAAAGTTTTTTTTTAAAGTTTTTTTTAATATTTTTTTTTTATATAGATTGTGAAGGCTGTTGTCTAAAACTAACCCCAAAAATCATTCCTGTGTTTTATCTAAAAGTTAAAGTAAAAGGTGTAACTGTTATAATTTAATTCGATTTATGTTTATTTTTACTTTTGATAAAGATTATATCATCACAGTTTTGTGACAAAATAAATTGAAAATCTTGTTTTGATAGTAAGTGCTCATATTAATCTACAATGTATAATGAATCAAATTGGCCTAAATAGCAAATTTTCAAATTATCTAATATTTCTCATAAAATGCTTACCTGTGGCGCTTTCCCCCCCCCCCACCCTATACTTGCAAAATTAGATTAAAATAATTTATTTCTACTAATTCTACCTTCAAATAATAATTTAAAGTGTTTGTGTACTAGCCAGGAATTCACTGTTACTATTTAATAAATGTATAATTAATCAAATTGGCCTAAATAGCAAATTTTCAAATTATCTAATATTTCTCATAAAATGCTTACCTGTGGCGCTTTCCCCCCCCCCCACCCTATACTTGCAAAATTAGATTAAAATAATTTCTTTCTACTAATTCTACCTTCAAATAATAATTTAAAGTGTTTGTGTACTAGCCAGGAATTCACTGTTACTATTTAATTTTCTTTATAATAATAATAATTGTGCTCATATCAACATAACAAGTTATAAATCTTACAAAATGATGGCAAAGTTGAAATCAAGCAATAGAATTTTGAATATCAATCCTACCTTTGAGATAATGTACTCCCCACAAGTCCATTTCAATCAAGCAAGTCTTTAAAAAAATTTAACTTGTTCTAAAAAATCTTCTTACACAGTGTAGACATCCATGATGTGGTGAGGAAAGTTCAAAAGTGGGCAACAACGTCCAGCAACTCTATTGACAGTGAGGATGGCAGGATGGTTGAGATGGTATGATTCTGTTTATAAATGATGAGCTGGTCATTTCTCAACATTTTTAGATCTTAAGACAAGGATCTGTTTAGCTTGTGATCATGCTCAGTGGATGCTGCTATGGACATTCATGAAAGAATCTCTAATAAAGAACTTAAATATTGCAGTTCCTTTATTGCAAAAAATTATCATTAATAAAGCTATTGCATAATCCATTTCATTCAGCTTTTAGAAATATAAAAATTAGAAATAAAACTGGGGAAAAGGCCATTTATTAGTGCGGGTCATTTAAATCATGTTTTTTTTAAAAATGTTCAGGTTGCGAAGCTTCACTCTGAAATGGTGAAGTGGATGGTTCAAATCTTACTACGACTGGCTCCAGACAAGGAAAGTAACTCCAAAGAGGCAAGTGAGATGGCTCTGCTTGGCAGTGCATCCATTGAGCAGCTGACTGAGGGGGCTAAGACTTTGTTTGAATCATTGGAGAGGTTCTCAGACAATGTAACACTGTGAGTGATTATAGTTAATAATCTGGTAATTTCAATATTTTTATAGTTAGCCTCATACAAGTTCAAAAATATTTAAATGTTGGAAGAATCATTGTCTTTTTTTAAATGTAACAAATCAGGGTTGAATTATGTTGTTTTTTCATATCTGCTTTGGTTTAGTGAGAAATTTGGATGTTCTTTCAATTAGGCTTATATTTTTTGCTCTCCATTTAGACATTTTAAAAAAAAAAAAATTGACAATTAGACCTATACTACTAAGATGTTCAAGATCAAATGTGAATTTTTTTTTTTATTAAAAAAATTTGCTTTGTGTCTATTGATGTAAAGCTTTAATGAAGTATTGATCTTTTATTTACAAAACCAAGTACATGTTTTTTTTTTTTTTTTTTTTTTTTTTTTTTTTTTTTTTTGTTTGTTTTTTTTTTTTTTTTTTTTTTATTTTTTTTTTTTTTTTTTTTTTTTTATTTTTAATAAAAATTTAAAAATTTAATAAAAAAACCAATTTATTTTTTTTTTTTTTTTTTTTTTTTTTACTTTTGTCTTTGTTCAGCTGCTGTAATGGTATTGTTGTGGAGAACACTCAGAAAAGACAGGAAAACAATGAAGATAACTTTGACCATGAGCTCAAGGATATGAAGCGACTGAAAGTAAAGTTCAGAAAAAGATTTACATTGCATATTAATAAAGTATTTTAAAAAAATATTCTTAGAATAATTGATATGTAATTCCTTAATTTAAATTTGTCTTTTTTTTTCAACATTGATTATCACATGATTTATCAATATTAGAAATTGTCAATTCAAGCAATTTTTTTTTGTTGCTTTTTCATCCACAGACAGAATGTGACGATTGGATTCAAACTGCCCAGTTGCTTTTGTCACAACTGACAGGAGAACCTTTAGGTACACTGTTTCCTTTCAAAGAACCAACAACTTTTATCACTGAATCTGACGTGGAACCTTCTCAAGACAGAAGTTCCTCAGACTACCAGAACAAAGTGACTTTTGTGGACAAAGAGAAACTTTCAGATGCACAAAGAGAAGTCGTATGCACTCATGTCTGACACATACAATTTTATTGTTTTCATAAAATTAGTTAATGCGATACAAAGTTACTGCATAAATATTATTCTTTATGGTCCATAAAAATTAGAATAAAAATTGCGAATAGCCCTGTTTATCAGCAATATCCTGGAAAGACCATTATAATTTTTTTTTCTCCAGTTTTTTAATTTCCATAGCTATTTCATATTTATCTTTATTTTATTCCCAATTTTTTTTTTTCAAATGTATTTTCTAATTTTATTACTAGTAACAAGTTATAACAATTAAATATTTAGATACGAGGATATTAATAATTAATTAACACTGCATGTTAAATACAGATTCTGTCAGGCTGCAGAAAGCCATTTTTTAAAAAATGCATACTTCATGAGAAGATTGGGAAATATTTTCATATAAATACACTTATAAACATTGCTAAACCAATAGCAGCCTCTTTAAATTATTCCCCTTTTAGTAGCCACCTTGTGCTTTAAATTAGGGGACCCCTGAACCAAAACTAATATCAACCATAACTTTTAAATTTAACCGTAACTTTTGAAGTTTTAAAAAGAACAAATCTAAAATCTTCCATTATTTCATAATTTATTTGCCTGTTATTGTCTTGCTCAAGTCTATTTGACAAGAGTATGTCACACAATGACATTTAATTTTTGTTTTTCTTTTTAAAAATGGATATCAAAGTGCAATTAAATGAAAATGTAAACAATTTAGTGAAAATACATACATTAAAATTATCCTTGTTGTAGCTTTCTGTATTAAAATATTTAATCAATAAGAAATGTCAAACATGTTGTCTTTCAATAGACATCTGCATCTGAGAGATCCAAAGATGAAAAAGATGTCTTAAAACCCAGCAGAGCAGCAACAGGTGAAACAGCAGACCCAGCAGAAACAGTAGAACAAACAGGAACAGCAAAACCAACAGGAACAGCAGAACCAACAGGAGTGGCAGAACCAACAGGAACAGAAGAACAAACAGAAACAGCAGAACCATTAGGAACAGCAGAAGAGGTAAAGAGTAAGAATGAGGCTACTAAAACTGAATCAAAACCTTCAGGGGATGAACTCATAATTTGCTTACATTAATTAAAATTGAATAACATTTTTTTTAAAAATAGTATTTAAATTATGTTGTGTGTTTTTGTGTGTTAAAATGTATGCAAATAAATAGAGCATATTACATACTTGCGTATAGGTTGCGCTTATTTTACTAAACATTTCTATAAAATTCAGGGATGCCAACTGTCCACGCTACATTAATTTCACTTACTGTTATTCAGTGTGGGGTAGTCATTTATACAAAAACTTGGACAATTTTTTTCTCCCTTGCTCTCATTTATATTGGAGCAGAGATCAATGCATTTTTTTTTTTGTAACTCCTCACACTAAGGGTGCAACGTATCTGTGGGTCAACTGCAAATATCCACTTGGACTATCCCACACAAAGGGTGCAACCTTTATATGAGTATAAGCTGTACATTTTTCCATGTTGTGGTTCATTTTTTCCAATGGTAATTCTGCTATTAGAACAACATTTATGCTACATGAAGAACAAGTATAAAATGAAAAATCCCTTTGCCTATTAATAAAAAGAGTCAGTAAAAGTAACCAGATTTAGTAAAAGACAGGTTAGTAAAAGTAACCAGATTTAGTAAAAGACAGGTTAGTAAAAGTAACCAGATTTAGTAAAAGACAGGTTAGTAAAAGTAACCAGATTTAGTAAAAGACAGGTTAGTAAAAGTAACCAGATTTAGTAAAAGACAGGTCATTGTATTTTGTATGTAACACTCGGCTGATGTGACTTTCTTCATATCCAAAACAAGAAATGTAAAGATAAAAAAAAATATTTTCTAACAGCATTCAACATATAATAGTAAGTGAATAGCTAAAAAAAAAGCATTTTTAAAACAGAAAGTGGACAAAAAATAGGCCCTAATATTACAAAGTAATGATTTTGGTGACGACAAGATTTTTTTGAATTATTGTGGTATGCAATAAATGTTGCCATTGAAAATTATGTGTACAGGAGGGAGACTCAGTTAAAGTATCCACCCAACCTGCACACCCTACAACACCTGCACACCCTACAACACCTGTGCAGCCTACAACACCTGTTGAGAAGATTGAAATACTTGGGAGTGATGCTAACACTCACACATTGACTATCAAGGACGAAAATGTCCAGGTAAGAATACTTTTTGAATATTAATTTAAAAAATATGTCAGTATTTTAGGTAAGTTAATAGGTTCCAGACTTTTATTTTAAAAAATAAGGGATTTTTCATATGTAATGCTTTATGAAATTGCCACATAGGTTTTAAACATCAAAGATTCTTTTTCAACATTAGGATACCAATATACATTATTTCAGTGGGATGATCCCTACTTTTCTGCCATATTTTAAAAAAAAAAAGATTTCATTATTTTTAAAATGATCTTACTCTTGGATTACATCATGTTAAAATGATGTTACTCTAAGAAGGTTACATTATGTTAAAATGATCTTACTCTTGGATTACATTATGTTAAAATAATTTTACTCTTAGATAACATTTTGCAAAACTTCCTTCTCTCCCTTCTCCCATTTTTATTGTCCCCCTTTTCAGTGCTAACATAATGATATCTTTGATGCCCCCAGGCCTTAGGTCATACACTTGTCAAATCTGAGGTTCCAGGCTCACCAGATACCAAGACAGCATTTGAGGCTTTGGCAGCAGTGCAGAGCTTGCAAGACCAATTAATGTAGGTCACTTTTAGTTGGTCAAAACTCTTACTATCCTTACTGATTTCCACCCCCCTCTCTCAAGCCCTCTGACCGATAAATGATGCTGCTGGGTGCTACCCATGGCTCGACATGTAAATAGTTCTGGGGTGAGCGGGGTTAATATATTTTTTTTGTTTTATACAACTGTTTTTTAGTTAAATAAATGTTTGTTATTTTTTTTAATGCCGTGATTATGTTTATGAATATTTTTATTTGAAGCACGGTGAGCCCAGCCCTAGGCTGTGGTACAGCGCTATAATATAAGATCACCATAATAATAATAATAATAATAAATGACTGGCCAAAATGGATCAAAGCTTGTTACTGGGGGGCCAAAGATGAGATAATCAATTTCTTGAAATGTTCATTCCGAAACATAGAATTAAAGATGTATAGTTTTATTAGAGATCAAGATGTCTTTCAGTGTTCAGAGTTGGTTTTAGATGTAAACAATTGTTGTGTCAAGAGTCTTGCAAACCTTACACATAAGTAATGACTTTTTTTAATGACTGTTTCTATGCAATCTAATACTTGAAACAGGCAATGTAGTTTTTGTTTTCTCTTGTTTGATTGAAATTTCCTCCTTTATTTTTAGATTAATTGTCTGCAGTATTAAATAATTTATTTTTAATTTCTGCAGAGCTGCTGAACTAAGAGCTCAGACAGTAGAAGAGAGGGCACTGCAGGCAGAGGCAGACATCATAGCATTGCAGGAAAAGCTGAGATCTTTTGAGAAACTAATGGGCCAGCACCAGGAGAAAGTAAGTTCCATATATTATTGTGATTGGCATATTTTATTCATATTTCACAAGTGTTACTAAAAAGTGTTCAACAGAATTATAGGTCATTTAAAAAAAATTAATATATGAGGCTGTTTTCCATTAAACAGAAGAGTATAAATTACTGTATATGCATTTTGAAAATAGATTTTAAGTCAACCACTACTTAAGAATTTTGTAAATATTATGTAAAATATTCAAAGTGAGTTTCCTTCATTTTGACTTATTTTCTATGACATTTTTATTAAAAAATCAACAGCTTATAAGGGAGGAAACATCTGGATCAGACATTCAAACTCAATCTGTAACAGCCAATAGTTCAAGCTCAACTTATTCGCCCCGAGCTTCGTTAGGAGGAAAAGATGAAAAAAGTGGGAAAAAATCTGCAAGATCAAGTAGCAAGGGCTCTAAGAAAAAATAACTTGAGAACAAAGCAACAAAAAATGAAATTAAACCAGTCAAATTGAACAAAGTAATTTATTGGAAGTAGTAGCTACAATTAATATCATTAATATAATATAAAATAATAACATCTGAAAGCCAAACTGTATAATGAAAGTACTTAATTTGTATATTTTGCTTGTAAATAAATATACAGCTAAAAAATATTTGTCTTAAAGTTGTCAGTCATCAGAGAAATAAACTTGAGCAATTTATTCAATTATATTTCAGTTTACAATTATATATGTATTTTAATGCAAATTTAATATCTTTTTGCAAATTTGTGTGTTGAAAGACAATAATAGGCTCTCCCTGAGTTATTTTTTTTATGTGATGTAAAAAAATTAAGAACTATACACCATTTACATCAAATATAAAAATATATGAGTATTTATGTAAATTTAAGTTGACCTGAAAGACAATGACAATTTTTAAACAATATACACACAAAAAAAGATTTAGTATATTATTGGAATGTTCAAATATAGGTTTGATATATATTTCTGTGCAATGCCCTTTCTAAAAATAACTCATTAAACAAGTCAACAACATTGGTAAGTTCTACAGTATGATCAAGCTAATTTTAAAAAAAAATATTTTTAACCCTTGTCAAAAGTAACAAGTATTTATGAATATTATTTATTTTAAATATTGTATTAGATCTATTTACATGTTTTTATAAATGTTATTTATATTTTGAAAAGAAATATTTTTAAATGTTAGGCTATAATTACTTTTTTTTTTTTTAAATACATTTTTAAGAATATATTCATTGGAGTACTTTAGATATTTTCTAATGTATTTATCAAAATACAAGAACATAAAACTTAATATACCAATGTTTTTATGATCCATTTGTCCCCCAAGTCTAGTACTGCACTTTGATCACCAGGTCTATTATTTTTGTTTACAATTTCATATCAGTCACTATTAAAGCATTGCATTAACTGCTGATGTACAGAGACTTCACAAATGTTTTTTTGTCTTAAAGAACAAATATTGCTGCTGAATATCAATTACTTCAATTTACTTGTACATATAAAAAGACTGCTGACTCTTCATTAGTATTTACACTTTCAAAAGCATTATATTTTTTTTTTTTAAAGTATTTCAATAACAGTTTTTTGAAGTTGAGATATCCCTGTTTTGCTCTTTTAAATTCTTATTTAACTCTGCAATTTTAAATACATGTGAATTTTCCATAATTGTATATTGAAAGCAAAACAAATTTCTTCCAAATCACTTGCTGCTATTGATATCTATACATATTTAAATAAGACTGCTGAAAATTTGACTTCATAAAATTCGGACAACTTAAATACATTTTTGACATCAATACAACCCTGAGACAGTTTATTTATAAAACATTTAAAAAATTAAATGGATATAAAATTACAACTTTGAACATGTATGCTTTATTTTCCTGTAAAAAAATAGATTAATAGCATTAAATATATCTAAGCTATAAAATAAATATGTATTCTGTGATAGACAACTCTATGTCATTAAATTTACTAGACAGCATTCATATTTTTATTCGTTTTAAGAGGCACTTGTTTTTTTTTTTCTCTTTACACATTCGATAATGTATTACGAACATTGGAATTATAGAACTCAAACTGGCACTCAACATTGTGTTGACAACATTTGCTTGAGAGTTTTTTTGTGTGTAAAAACTTCAATAATATGTATGATTAACATTTAAAAAAATGCCAAGAACAAAGCCAAACCATATTTTTGTTTGGTTTTTTTATTTTTTGGTTGTTTTGTTTTGTTCTGGCAAAAGACAAGAAAATAGCAAAAAGACATTGTGGTAAAACCTTTCATAATAGTTCTGCCAAACAAGCATTGTTTTAAAAGGGAAAATCTTATTTACAATTTTCAGATGTTCAAAAAAACAAACTTGTTCAAAGTTTGCCTAACTATTATTGATAGAATCCATCACTTATCAGCAAGGCTACTGCTAACTCAGCTAACCAGTCATCATGGTCATTAGTTAAATAAGTCATGCTTAATTCTCATTTTACTATTCTACACTGATAATCATATTGTTTAGTGCTTCCCAAAGTGGTGGTCCATGGACCCGTCTGAGAGCACCAGTCTGCCAGCCTTATGTTGCCAATCTGCACTACATGAGTAAATAATTTATAAATTTGGAACTGGTCCCTGGTGAACTGGGAATTTTGTCCACCGGTCTGCCAAACTTTAAAAGTTTGGGAAATACTCATCTACTTCGCTGCTTAATTTATTTTATTTCATAATATCAAGGACGTATCAGACTTTGGTGGATTAAAATTACAAAATTTTCAGTTCTATATGAAAAACAGTAACCCAGAGATAATAGGACCTTTAAACATGTCAGGTGTAGAATGTTTTTTTTTAAATCACTACATAATACTGATAAAACAAAGGCACAGAAAGAATTTATATTTACATCATTTACAAAGCTTAACATTGTGACAGATAACACCTAAGATAGAAACATAAGCTGCCTTTATTCATTTAAGAAAGAAAAGAAATTTCCGTCCAAGGGAATCCAAACTTTCGGGAGACTATTAAAACAATCATTTTTTATCTCAAGCAATAACTAAATAAATAAGTAAAATTTAAACTTTGTTCACTCATGAGATATTTTGAATATTGACAGGTCAGGCCAAAGAAAAAAAACAAAGCATGGAGCATGCTTAATGTAACATCTATAATATTAGATACTATAAAAATTAAAATTCCATTTATTTCGTCCCAAAGTGATTCCATGAATTACACTGTAAATGATAAGTTAATATGTGTTTGGGAACCATTTCATGGAGAACAAAATTAAATTCCTGTCATTTGCATTTTTTTACTAAATGACTATGTATAGATTAAATAATTTTCACATGACTTGAACTGACAACTGCCTTTGATGAATTATTACAATTTAAAAAAATGGGATATTACCAATTAAATGTTCAAAATCTAATCTCTCTCACAAAAATTACTCATAAGCTTCTTCTTACACATTTTATAACACTTTTCAACATCCATAACATTATAATCACCTTGCCATGCTAGAGAAGAAATACTTGCAATTCAAAATAAAGATGAAATCTTGAATAAGAAATGGCACTTTGTCAAAAATCAATTGATTTCATAAGATTGGAGCCCTGCTATGGTGGGACTTTGATATAACATGACTTCAGATATAATGCTGTCACACTTCCCTGCTATGGTGGGACTTTGATATAACATGACTTCAGATATAATGCTGTCACTCTTCCCTGCTATGGTGGGACTTTGATATAACTTGACTTCAGATATAATGCTGTCACACTTCCCTGCTATGGTGGGACTTTGATGTATCATGACTTCAGATATAATGCTGTCACACTTCCTTCCCAAAATTTTGCTTGTTATTTGCAACGGAATGTTTATTTTTCAGAAAAATAAAAATCCATAAAAATATCTGATTTTATATGGACTCCAATGATCATATAAAAGCAGGGTTCAACTGTAATTCTCACTGCTGAATTGACTGCTATCAAAATAAATTTTATCTTTAAAATAGCTTTACATGTAATGATTTCATGGCAAAGGCAGAAGATTTAAAAAACAAGAGACTTTTCAATTTGATTGTATTGCATGACTTCATTGTATGTTTGTGGCCTGTTCCTTGGTGGCTTTGCTCTGTTTTTTCTTACTAGAAAACTTGGATGTAAGGGTTGCAAACAGAGAGGGTGATTTTGGCTGACTCCCATGAGATGACAGTGACATAGTAGATAATGATTTGGTCAAAGGAAAAAAATGTGGAGAGAGAGGAGACTTTGGTGAGGTTGGAGAAGATGTAGTTAGTGTAGTTGCAAGTGACCGGGGGTCCTCAAGGGTTGACTTCTCTACCACGATAACTTTGCGGAATGACTGGGGAAAAAAAATTAAAAAATGTTAAGTATCATGAAAGACATAAGGAGTTAAGATAAAAGACATATAAGCACTTATGGGAAATGAAATAGAAATATTTACTATTCTAATAAAGAAAGAAAGAAAGATGCAGAATCATAAAAAATACAAGGTTCAATCTTTATGACATAGATGGTAAATAAAAAAACAGTTTTGAATTTTTTAAAATGGTAAAAACTCCTCTTTTTATGTTCCGACTTACCTGTCTCCCTCTTGTAGATTTGGCTCTTATAAAAGAAAAATCTCCGTCGTGGGCCATCTAAGAATAATAATGCAAATTTTCAGTATGAATATTTGATAGTTTTAATTGTGTTTTTACAAAATAAACCAGCAATTTGGCCTATTGCTTTTTTTTCTTCCCCCCCACCCCCCCCCAACAGTAGATTCAAATTTCAACCCCCCCCCCCCCAACAGTAGATTCAAATTTCAAGTACAGACATTATTTCAGTTCAATATTACTAAAGAAACACCAAGCCATATTTCCTAATTTTCCTTATCATCAAAGTCCAACATATTGGCAGAGAAATTTAAATAAAAACAAAGTTATGAGCTGGTTTTGTGAGCGTAGTCTGCTTGCGTATAGAATAGCTGTTGATCATAAGTTGGTAATAGTTTTGTGAGGGCTAGTTGTGTTTGGATGGGTTATGGATGGTCAATAAATAAGTGATGTTTTTTAACTGCTGTTTGAACATGGGTGCCGAGTGAGTTAAGTTGGGAGCTCTGGAGTTATTGGGGTACTATGTAAGTTCTAGTTTTTTGGTGGCAGTCAGTTTGTCAAAAGGAGCATGAGTGTCAATGAAGAGAGGATTTTTATGGGACATTTAATTTCCTTGTTATCTAGTGTGGCCCATGTAAATAAAGAAGATTAGTATTTTCTCTCATGTTTTTATTGCTTTTTGTCGTTCAGTGTGGACAAATAGTGTTGAGCCCCTAAGACAACAAAAGAGGCTTGCAAATGTCCATGAGTAAATGTCCCTACTAGTTTGTTGATTGTGAACTCACTCTAAGAAGGAAGTTCACTATAAAGCTGATTTTTTTCCCCCCTTACATTTATTTAAACTTAGCCTTAGGGTCAGATATAAGTGGTGTCTAAGTTTGTTTTAGCTGATTGTGTATTGAATTTAACTTTGACAGCATACATTCTAGGTCAATAAAATTCGTTATAATAATGTTATTAATTTAATAACTGTTTAGATGCTAATAGGGCATTCAAAGCTAATGTGCAATTTACCTCCCATCGGCTGTCCACATCTTCATATATTGCTTCTTCATCATCAATTGGTGTGATGTAATCTAAGAACACAAAATGCAAATTGATTGTTTTAATAACAACTGCTTAGTTAAGTTAACTGCAAGTTTATGGATTTCAAAAAAAAGATTCTTATTCAATTATTGTATTATTGCAAATACAACTGGCACATTATTTAAATGAGTCTTAAATGTGGCTTTAGGGTCGAATTAAAGATTGAAATTTTTTATGTAATGTTTTAAACATAATTTTTATTTTATTTAGTGAGATATATCAATGTGCCTTAAGCAGATCTCTGAACAGTTTTAAGTTTCTACCCCACAGACCATCACTGAGCCATTTCTTACAAGAGAAGTGAAGAGCAATTTGGATACAAATCTGGACTCAAAGCCCTATCCTCAATCTTGTCTTTTAAGAATTATTTAAATTAGTGGGGAAATAATTTTTAATACTACTTTAAGATTCTAGTATTTTATAGTCTAAAATACATTTTTTTTAGAAATTCAAAGTCATGTCATACCACAAGGGAGACCTCTTGCTGTAAGGACATCATCAAAATGCACATCGATTGGCTGGGAGAGATCAGGTGACGAATCGTCATGTCCACCAGAAGCTTCACTGAGGTCTGCAAATTTTCTTGAGCTGGGACATCTTCTGGTCAAATATATGACATGCGGCTGAGGAAGTGCTGGCCTTTGAGAATATCCCGTAGGATTTGACTGGCCTGTCTGTTTATGATTTGGATTCAGGGGTTGTTGCGGATAGGGTATCGGTGGTAAGTTGGCAGTACGGGGAGGTGGGGTTGCAGGTAGGGGTGGTGGGGATGGAGAAGCAGGGGAAGCTAGGGGTGACTGAGGTAGACTTCGTCTGGGTTTGGAAGCATAATTTGAGGGTGCCATAGTTCCAAGGAATGTTGGAGCCTTAGGGCTCATTGCAAGATCCTTGGCAGCTCTTCTAGTTGTCAGAGTAAAGTTCATTTCATCTTCTCTCTCATTGAGCCCAGAAAGTGATAAACTGCTTTTGAGAGGCGATACTTTTTGGGAATAATTTTGTTGCAGTGTTAAGGATACACTAGATCGACGTACCCTAGGATGTGGCATCAAGAAGTTTGGCTTTAAACGTTGCATAATCATATAATCACCATCGCTTTTATGACTGACAATTGTGGACTTGGGTGGAGCATTTTGGTTGCTTTCTGGGCTAACAAATACTTTTAAAGGTTGAGGCGGCCTTGGAGGCGTCGCAGGTCGACCAACTGATGATCCACCAGAAGATCTTGAGGACTTTGTGACTTTATCAGAAACACTTTGCCGTGGTTTAGGCCGTGGTTGCTGCACCACAGATTCAAATGCCCTTGTTGACCCTTTGCCTTGGGTGTCAGCAGAATCTAAACTGTGATGTCGGCCATGAATAGTTTCTTTGGAAAGCATTAGTACTGGATTTGCTGAGAGTGAGGTCTCTGCAGCAATTTTAGAACATGGACGTTGTGATGAATGAGTAGATGTGTTAACATATGGAACTGGTGGAGGTTTTCTTCTGGGG